GGTTGGAACTTGCAGCCGAGGTAAACGGGTTCCTTCGGCTCGTACGAGAGCAACATGAAGCGGAGATTCTCCACCACCACGTACCTTTAAAAATATTATAATAAAAGCAAGAATTGTTCAAAAACAATAAAATTTTGTGCGCAACATCACGCGATTTGCAGTCATTTTTAATGAAAAAATACGAGCACAACTGTGGAATTCGGCACGCTCAGGACTTAGAGAAAAAAAATTCTCCCCGAAAAGGTACAATTTTGCTTCCTTTCCCTCTTTTCCTTCTTAAATTTGGCAGCTATAATAAAAATGTATGTGCATGGGAGATATACATATTTATTTAATGGTTCCCCGTTTGTAAATTCCTTACTGATGGTGGCACAAAGGTACAGGTTTGATAATTTGAAGAAAGCAAATTGTGCGGGGAAAAATTGGTTTGGGTCCAAATGCTTTAGTACCCTGATGAGAAGTTCATGAAGGCAATTCATAAGAGGTTTCTGAGCCTGAAGAGATTCATCGGCGGACCTATGACAACCTACATATGCTGAAACAGGCCATTAGAGATGCCTTCGCTACAGTCAGGACCGGAGATGATTGAAGGAATTCTGCAAGCATTCAAAGAGAGACTGCGCTAAGTCATTGAAAACTCTAGACGTCATTTTGAACACTAGTCATTTGGCGGCTTTCATTTGTAAGGATGTAACTTTGTTCCAATTTCCTATGGAATGCTGAAAGTTTCTAAACTAAAAATATATTGAATTGGCTATCGTTTGAGTCATATATCATTGAAATCAGATGTATAATTCATGATTAATAAGCTTTTACTTTTGGGGAGACAATTATGGACCGCCCTGTACATTGAAGAGTGCGGCCACCTCCACAACCGAGCCGGAACCGAAGCGAGGAAGGTCTCTAGCGCGAACGGAATGAAAGGGGAAAGTCGCTGATATGCTCTAATCCTGGAGGGGAGGAAATCCTTTAATTGCTATAATTTAATATAATAATTTAATTGCCCCCCTCCCCCACCTAAAGAAACTTGTTTCGCCTAGGGAACACGACTACGGATACAATGTCAGTGAGATCACTGATAAAGATTCTAATGGGGAAGGAAAAGAAACAAGAAAAAAGGCAACAGAAATGGTTGCAGGATAATCCTCTCAACCACCATAGAGGAGACGATCGACAAAACGTCCATCGAGACGTAAAATGGGACTAAATATAAAGAAGTCGGGTGGCTCGGGAATCAGTCTTTGGACTGCGTTTGAGTTCGTGAGGAGCGAAAGCAAGATGAGTCTTTTCTTGTTCCAGTGGGTTACGGGCTCACTAAGAACAAAATGAGCGGGGACGGACGGAAAAACATTTCAATTTCACTATTAGATAAAAATGAAACTTTTCATCAGGTAGGGTTCTTCTGTCATTCTCTTGTCTTCAGAGACAAGCGAAGGGGGTTGACCATAAATCTGCCCGTGGACACGATGGCGACTGAGTGCATTTAATTTTCAGCTATTCCTATTCCTGAGCCAGAAATAACGTCATTTGAGCAGCAACAATAAGATTAGGACTTACTTAGGACCACGACTTAGGAAAATCCATAAAGAAATAAATTTCTTTATGTAAGAGACTCTGCGGTCGATTGCCCTCCATCCGCGACCGTAAGCTCGCTGATGTGTAAAATCGGGGAACTGACCGGACACCTTTTTAAATCGCCGTCAATAGAGACCTTCCCGGGCCTCTAATCTAATTTAAAAACGATTGAGCTGTTCAGAAGTGACTTCAAACATCTCGTGAAGCCATTCTCCATCAAGGCATTAAATTCTCGCATCCCGTCATTCTCATCTCATTTTTTTGACCGATCCAAACCAGAGTTCTCTTTGGAAAACCTTACCGCATTCTGCAGCATTTGTGCGACAGAACCAAATTTTACACAACCTCGATTAACCCTACGCAAACAAGCCAAATTTCATGGTACACTGCCTTGGCTGTTTGACACAAGTTATTTGCGCAATAAGGGGATCTAGAAGAGACCTGAAAGGTAAACAGTTTCTTTTTCCGCCAACGCAGGATTGTGAGCGAGATGCCTCACGTGTCATCGTCGGCCTTGAAGAACCAATCGGCGTCCTGGAAGTGGTGCAGGTAGATGTAACGAAATGCCTCGCGGGTCTTCTCCCAGAGATATTCCCTCCCTTCGCCCACGGGAAGGGCAATGGCCGGCAGCGACGAATCTAACCAGCAGAGGGTAAGCGATGACGGGAACATAAAAGAAGAGATGAATGCACAGCAGAGTCGAGATGATCAGCATCCACAGTGAATAACGGATTGAAGAAAAAACACCTCGAAATCCACGAACCCCTTCCCCAAAAAAGCATGACATACCGTTCTTCGAGCTCATGAAGAGGAGGACATTACACCGCCTCCCCCATGTGGCCTTGATGTGCCTTGCCTTGGACTCGTGGTTCTCCGGTTGAGTCATCACCCAACACAAGACCCTCACCTTTCTCGAAATCTCATCCGCCAACGTCGTGTCAACCTCCCCTAAACATGAAAAACCTTATAAAAAAAAAAAAAGAATTGGAAAACCCCTGACGTCGCCTTGACCTTAAAGGTTAAAGGCACCTTCATAGAGCGACTCCTCCTCGACTACCATTTTTTCAAAGTCCACCACTGGCTTCTCTCTTTTCTTCTTCACTCTGCAAACACGACCTCCGACCATTGATTAAATTAATTACACGAATGATACGATTACCTGAGACGGTGATGCTCACGAGGGGCCATCGAGAATGGACGAAATGAAGAAAACCGACGACAGAAGGACCAACAAGGAGGAGACGCCAAAGAATATCCTTTTCATCCTCTGCAAATTTTCCTTGGTACCTTTGACTTCGACCAACACATTCAATTCAAGATGGCGGGGGTTGGGAAAGCGGAAAACCGTCCAAATTTCGCCGACGAGTCAGAGACACTTCCGATCGCGGAAACGCGACATTATGCACGTAGTCTGATGAAGGATATACCCTATCTTGGCGATAAGAACCCCCTTTTGATAAAGAGCACTTACTTGCAATAAACCAAGCTGCAAGCCTCCGTTTTATTATTAAATGAATATGCGGACTCCCTTTGAGTCGTGACGTTGACACAGTCCTCTGACGAAAAGGCAAAAAAGTCACGACCGCTCCTTGACAAAAGCATATAGGATCACAGGAGATGTGTTAATTTGCGATTAGCCATTACAGCATGTTGGAGCGATGACATACTTTCTCAACAAAATGCATTTTAAAAGAAACATCAAGCGAAGTGTTGAATTTAGGATAATATTTCAACTGGATCTAGACATTTTTCTCAAGATGTCTTCCTTCGTTGACGCCGTCGGGGCTGGGATGAATGGTTCGAAAACTTCTGAGAAGTGCTACCGTTCAAGCAGGAAACTTTGAGGGGGTTCACACAGCAAAACATTTGGGAAACCACACAAAATGAGAGTGGCACCCTTACAACGACAAAATACAAGGGACGATTGGCCATTGCTTGATGCAATAAGGAATGTCACACAAACACCCACGCAATAAAATCTGTATCTGGTAATGTTCGACCCTGCAGCAAATTCCAAGGATATCACATAAAAGCAATGATAGAATAACACACACTAGTTGCGCTTGCGTCGCTACGCGAATCTTTTGTTCCGAGAGGCGATTAAAAGCCAAAAACCATGTGACAGAGACTAAGCGGTACGATAATAACTTCATTCACAAAAATGTAAAAACAAACACGATCCTCAGATCATCTTGCGCCAGGCCAGGTACATGAACATCAGGAGAATCAGAATTCGTTTCTACCCCGTGGCTTACTACGGCATGTCATACCGATACAACATGATAATCTATGTCATCAGATATGGATGGATGCATAGGTACGGCGTCACTCCTGGATGCATCAGGAGGATGTGCAGAGATGAGAACGAGGGGGGTGGTGCTCTTCTCAATTCATCCTTGCGACCGTCGTACGCCGAGTTCTATGAAAATGATAGAACTTCGATCAGGTCCGAGGCGGGACGAGCGAGAGTTTTTGAAAGAAAGTTGAAAATCCAAGGGTGGAAGCCCTCACCCTACGCAGAGCGTTTCATACGGACGGACACTTCTCGATTCTTCTTCTTTCGTATAGCGTTTTTGATAGCAACAATTAAAGTTCAATTCAAGGTGAACTAACCATTCCATTGCTTCTGGGGCTGCTGAATGGATACAGTTTGAACGTTTGTCACGAATGTCACGTTTGAATGCTCTAATTGGACAGTCGTTCACAATGTGTTGGATAGTTTGGCTCTGTGCGCCACAATCACATTTGGGATTTTCACTTGCCGATTAATATATAACTAATCGAAGACATTTGACCATCTAAATTCAATGTTCCAATTTTACCCCTCAACCTACTGACGGAGGTATGGGCTTATATTGTGGAACGGACATCCCTGATGTGATTACGTCGCACGCGCAGGATCTCAACTCTCTCCAGCAGGGCTCGTCCGAACTCGCTCAGAGTCATAAGCGGGCTTGCGGGTCGGTCGGATCTACCCGACACGGTCCGCGAGTCCTACTCACGTAGTATCGGGTTTAGCTATGTCGGGGGGTTTCGGGTCGGGCCCCGTCGGGTAGAGTGAGGAAAACTCGACCCGTGCAGGACAGACAGAGAGACAAATCTCGGCTAGACTACGCAGAACGTTTCAGACGGACAGACACTTGCTGATTAATATAAGATTCCCCATTCAACATCTGACCTCGCCCTCGTCACTGCGGGACACAGGAGCGACGCCATAGGGCCGCAAATGGTAGATGAAGTACTCGAGAATGTACATGAGTTCGGGCGAGACGTAATGGATGGAGACGGCCGCGTCCGAGCAGCACTCCAGTCCTTCCGCGTAGGGGAACGACGTCGCGCTCCTGAACCAGCTCCACACCTCCTCTGCATCGGGGAGGAGGTGATGCTCTGGCACGAATGGGAACATCCGCCAGCGTCCCGAGGGGTCCCGCGATTCTTCTATCTCCACCCCCACTGCGCGCAGACACTGCACTGTGTGACCGTGGGAGAAAAAAAAATTCAGTGCACTGGCGTTGCAGTGATTCCGACCTTGCAGTACTGGAATAGGACGAATGAGATACTGGCATCTTTCAGGACCTTCCTCGACGTAAGTTCCCGCACGTGCTAAAATTTAGCTCTTTACCTGTGATTACAAACGCGTTCCATATCATTACTAATATCTGTCGCACAATTATAGGTGGAGTTGGTATCGCACTACGGAAGCTAGTTTCAGTATCACTACGTTGATTAGAACGGGTACTGCCCCTGGAACTGCTCGGTTGACATGTCTTTTATGCGGGACAAAGTGTCAGTAAAGAGAGTCAATCAATAAAATTATTTATTGTATTTCTCTATATTTCAAGCAAACGCATGGGGATTGAACCCTTTCCAAACACCAAGTGTGCCTCGGAATTTGCAACAATCGAGTGCAATCAACAAGCGTAAGATGAACCGAATTGAAGTCACTCACTAGAAAGAATGCCGCGGCAGACAAAAATGCCCGTCCTGGATTCCCGCCGAGTCAGACGGACGGCATCGAGGTGAGCATGCCTTCCGCGTTCGCGTTTGCCATCTGCCGATTGAAGCTAATCTCTTCGTGATAATCCGGGATAATCCGATGCGTCGTCTGTTGAGGATGTCGGCACATGGATGAATTAAATTTTCACGCCAGGCGAGATAACGCAACGACTCGCCACATCCAGCTAGGAACTGGTCCAGCTATCATTAACAGTTTTCCACCAACTTCATGTCTTTCCTTTGGCACACGTAGCGCACGATGACGAGCTTGCACCCACAACTCGACGCGAATTATTCAACGTGCGTCGAAGAACGTTTCGATCGCTGACGAAAGTGCAGATCGAGGATAAATAGAGGTAAGAGAGGGCATGAATATGTCGGCCGTATTTCTCTTCATTCTTCGATTTTTCCCGATGGTCGGTGGTCTGTCGCTGATGAATGCGCTCGACGTGTCTCGCGGCTTCGCGCGTTCATGGCCGCTTTTCGTTGCTAATATAATTATCTTGGTGGAAGCACTTCAGCGAGGAAAAATCGGACTCAATTTCCAGCAGATAACCCCGTGTGCTCATTATTGCGAAGAATGGGAGTGGATTCTGTAGCCTCTATCCTAACGAGTCTCACGATGAGTTTTTTTTTAATTCTAATCAATCCAAAGACAAATGAGTCATTAAATAAATAGTGCTAATACGCGATATCAGCGCTAACTTGCTGGAACAGTCACGGTTCCCCAAGCACCTCATCAAGCACCGTCCAATAAGATTATAGATATAGGGAATGCCTCTCTGCATTAATGATTGCATAGAGCCCTACACGGGCCTGCACGAGTTTCTAGCCGTGCGCGGGATAAGAATCGAATTGGGTCGACCCGATGGGAAAACATGGCCCGTTCAGGGGTCTAGGGAGCAGGGCAAAAGTACGGAAACGAACAGAAGTGGGCGGAACGAGTTACGACCATAGAGTGAGGGGTGGCCCCTCCATTTATACACTCTCTATGGTCACGACCCAAAATGCTTTGAAGTTCGATGCAGATTGGTTGGAGGAATGAAAATGTACGAAAGGAGGATTTGCTGGCATGACATCCCGTCGGTTTCTCGCTTTCGTTCCGGTTTTTAACACCGGGATGCGTCACGTCTAGCTCTACGTGTGTCTGATGCCTTGGATGAATTCGTCATCGCAATATTGAAGGAAAACGCGGCTGCACCGATTTTTCTCTCGTACAAGTCTCGAATCGACACTTGGGGCGGCATTAGACGCGGCGAGGGAGAAGAATTGCAACTGACCAAAAGCGACATCATCTCCGCCTTCAGAACAACAAACGGGGCAGGACGTGTGGGAGGGGAGGGCCTTCTCCACGAGTCTCTTCAGTGCCTCTCGACTCAGTAAATATCCTGCAAAAAAAAACGAAAGAGCCTTTCATTTTGGCCGAGAAAGGCCTTCCTGGAATCCCAAATGATGGATCGTCACCTGATCCGGTGCTCACGGAGCCCGGCTCGACGACCTTCTCGAACCGACAGCCGAAGACGACTGGCTCCAGTGGGTCGCGGTCGAGGAGCATGTGGCGGAGGTTCTCCACGATGACGTAGGTGTCATCGTCTGCTTGGAGGAACCAATCCGCGTCGTCCGAGTGATGCCGGTGCACGTACCGCAGTGCCTCCCGAGTCCTCAGCCAGGCGTGATTTCGTCCTCCTTTCAACCCCACGGCGGGCAGGGATGGATCTGCATCATCGATCAGTTTCTGGTTGTTCTTTCCGGATTTGGGATTCGAGTGGGGCGCTTAGTGGGAACCCAGTTTCACCTGCTGGCTCACCGGCTAAGACTAAGCACGACAGCGACTTGCAGTGAGAGGGACAAAATTGGCCTGATGACTCCCTCACAAGTCATAAAATTATGCTCGCTTACTCGGCTTGCTTCGAGGGGGGGGGGGGGGGAAGGGGTGCATTTGGGGGCCCCAAGTGCCTTGCAGTAACGAAAGCAATTGGAGTGAAGTACTGAATCCGAACGAAGCAGATTTAGAGCCGCGTGAAGGCTGTGTAATTCGTAACATCTCTGACATTGAAAAACCACAATAAAACGTCCAATTGAAGTGCACGACGTGCATGCATAGACGCTTTGTGGGGGGTGATGGAGACCGACGACAGGTGCGAAGCGAGAACTACCGGTTTTGCGATGTCTTCGATGGCAACTCAAGTTTACCGGTAATTCGATGCATCGGATGCCCTCGGACGGTATCGGATCGCCTACTCGAGCAGCAATCCAGAATGGATCCTGCCGCGTCACGTCCCAAAAATCTCATACGACCTACGAGGACGTTTCATAAGGACATCCTGTTCCACGTGGAATCCAGGTGTCTCGGGGACGTCCTGTCGCTCATTGGTCATAAGAAAGATGAGAGAAAAGGACCACCAACCGTTCTCCGTGCTCACGAAAAGGAGGACGTCGCACCTCCTCCCCCACGTGGCCTTCACGTGCTTGGCCCTCGCCTCGTGGTTCTCCGGCCGGGTCACGACCCAGCACAGGACCCTCACCTTCTTCGTCTCGCGGGAACGGTCACCGAGGGCGGCCAACTCGTGGGAATGGTCACCGAGGGCGGCCAACTCGCGACGCGAGAGGATCGGTCCCTGCTCCCACTCCGCTCTGTTCATCCAAGAACACTGTTGATGGTATCTCAAGGTCAAAATAGGGGAAAGCTGAAACCAAATATAGAATTTTGTTTGGAATCCAACAAAAGTGCGTCCAGAAAGCCAGATGTGAAACACGTAACACAGATCCGGATAATTTGATTTTCTTGATTGACGAAATTTGTCAAGTTGGAAAATTCAGACGTATTTCTTGTTTCCACCTGCATGATCATACAGATATTGACGTTGTGGGCAATTTCTCGCAGGGCTTCCTTCATCTACCTTTTAAGGCCACGAACTGCTCCTTTTCCATACGAGGGGCGAATACCGCACAAATGAGGAATTTCTTGCCGGAGTCGATCCCGAAGGCCATTGAACTCAACATGGCTTTATTTGGTCATCAGGTACCAGCTCTCTGTGACGGCTTTCTTAACCCTTCCCATAGTTTATTTATCGAAAGCAGTGGAGATTTTATAGCGAAGGAAGAGCCCGATCGAGGACCTAAATAACTTTCGCTAACTGGTTTACCTTTATTTCATACGCCTAATTATAATAAATATAACCGGTATCTCCTGTGTATACTGAGAAGAGAGACTCGAAGACGGTTTTCTCACCGATGAAAGGAAACGAGGGCGTAGGGACGAGTCGCGTCACTGGAGGAATGCAAGACGAAGGCAGACAGGATCCCCACGCACAGCCCGCAGGTCAAGGCTCCCACCGTCTCCAAATTCTTGCCTCCTTCAAGAAAGCGGGGAATCAGAGCGAAGAGGGTGGAAGGAGGGGGGGGAGAAGTGGATGGAGGTGGGTGGAAGGAGGGGGGGGGAGAAGTTGCTGGAGGTGGGTGGAAGGAGGGGGGGAAGGAGAAGTAGGTGGGCGTCGCTTCGGGTTGTGAGAGGGACGTGGCGCGTTTGAGTTGGAAACGTGTCTGGTGAGGACAGCGATACCTGTCGGGGTGTCTGGGGATATCTGTGACTTATCGCTCTGAGGCGATCGCATGCTGGGAAAGCCCGCAGACATCAGTCTACTGACATGCAAAATTGCGAGTTAGAAACGGCGTGCTTTTCGAAGCTGTTCCGCGCAAATGGCGCATACTAAAAAAAAGGAGAGAAAAAAGTCACTCGTGCGGCTTATTTTTAAAGTCATTCTTACTTCGCTCTATAATAGTCGAATGTAAGAGTACACTTTGGGATATTTAATTATCGAACGAACTCTGTCGCAAAACACACCAGTCGCAATTTTCAATGTTTAGACTGGCAAAAAAATTTAAAGACGTTGAAAATGGAACCGCCAGATCAACGGAGATTCAACGCAGAATCACAGATGCCATTTTTGTGCGTGCGGCCGATCCGAAAACCGGACGCCCACGTCCGCCCCAGTCGCACTCGGAAGGCGACGAGGGCAGGCCATGGATGGATAACGAGCAGCTCGCAAAACCTGACCCCGATTTTCCGCGATTTTCGAAATCTTCGGATCTCACTCATTAATTTTGCAATCGATTATCAAGAAAAAGCGCTAAAAAAAAAATAAGGGAGAGAAAAAAATTGTTAAATGGTTACGGACTCGATTCGAAGTACTTGCCGGTACCGTGAGGACGAGGCGAGACGTGGCGAGTCCATCCCGGGATGCGGGCCATAGCTCGGGAGGTGTGGGTCGAGTGGCTCTCGCGGGTGTCGGCGGGGGTCAGTGACAGCCGAGCAGTGGCGGATACAGAAATTTTTCATAGGGGGGGCGGTTCCCAAGTTCCTACCCCCCCCCCCCACCCCCCCCAGTCTACCATCATTCCTCTTCCTTTCACCTTTTTTATTTTTCATCTGGGGTAAGAACTTGAGTTTCTATTTCACTAGCTCCAATAAAATGTAATGCAGATGCTATTTTGAATAAATAAATCAAATGCCAACCTGGCCATAGGGGGGGCGGTCGCCCCCCCCCGCCCCCCCCTGTATCCGCCACTGAGCCGAGGGATATGCATCGCACTCGGTCGATGCATATCGGCGGCTGTGTCGAGGCTCCATCTCGTCCATATTCAACTCCGACTTTTCATTTTTCATTTTGGATCTTCATTTTTTCATTTTTCATTTTGGATCTTCATTTTTTCATTTTTCATTTTGGATCTTCATTTTTGATCGGTCGTTACCGCTGAAGGAAGTTGGAGGAAATGCAACGCGTCTCAAGATAGTTTGCCATCAACTCGAGTGTTGTTTATTGATGGAGCTCAACCGATTGAGAACTTGCTCGAGCTCAGCCGTAAATAATGATTTAAAAGTTGCAAACAGTGGAAATCTCCCGGATCAGCTCGCTAATCCCTCATTTATCCGGATGGCGCGATCCAGATTCTCCGTCGTCTGAGTAGAGAATAAATAAATAAAAATCCATCGGGTCGTAGAGAAGGCTCGAACCATTATAAGGGTATTTCCAATATCCGCTTATAATATAGAAATATTACGAATATAAATTTTCCGCGAATCGGCGTCGTGAATTCCGTTGAAGACGGCAGGATCGTAGTCGTTTGAGCCATTTGCAAGGGAGAGAGGCCGAAAATTAAAATGTTTATCATTTTAATCATAACGAACTGTGACCCATCTATTATTTATTTTAAATAGGGAGTTGGGCTTGTGTCGGACAGATATTAAAACGACGTCGTTTGCTTGGAGGAAAAATAAATCGCAGTGCCAGGGAACGGCATGGGGAGAATCTAGAAGGGAAAAAAAAAAACATCGCAAGAAAAATCGGCGATTTCTTCCGAGACGAGACGAAAAATCGGACTTACCGCTTTCTTGCGCTGAATCTCCCGGAACCGCTACTTAGAAAGGCCGACTCCAGCCAGACGACCCGACGGTTTTCCTGCTGCGTCCTCTCAGATGAATCTACGTTTTGCTGCTGCGTCCTCTCAGATGAATTGATTCCCCAACGAAGCTTCGTGATCGGCTTTGAGCGCCCCGCAACCATGGAAACTCACTCGAAACTAATATGAAACGAGTCATTCGTGTCGACTTGCCTTGACGAAGAAACGTCGACCCGACGACTCTAGGCCCAGAAGCACAAATAAATGCTTTGGCACGGTCACGCCGCACGTGCGCCCTCGACCTTGCCTATACCCAGGTTAGAAGAGTAGATAAGGTTGGGTCGAAAGCGAAGCCCCGAATAATGGCGGTTCTAGCCCTAGGGCAAATGACGTCACTGGTATACACCAGCCTCGAGTGCTCCATTCTCGCCATTGGGTTTCCTCCGATGTAATGATATTATTTGAAGCGTAATGTCAACATTTCGTAACCTATCGCTGATTTAAAAAATATCCTTTAAATTGAAGAAGGGAAAGCATCGAATGGGAAAGAGGCGGGGAGTTTGGGGGGGTGCGACTGTAGTGAGAATATATTATTATTTACGGAAATTGTTAACATGTGTCATTTGCCCTTTTGAAATGGCAATGAAAATATGCGTTCATTGTCAGACTTCTTCGTTCTGCGTTGCTGAATCCCCAAATCAGAGGAAGGGAACTTGTTTGTCATGGTCATGGCAATTCACGTGATTTTCACGAACACCATGAATATATTTCTTCTCGCAAACATTCAACGAAAGACTTCCATTCCTTTCTCACCTTCTTGCCCTTGCTGAGCAACTGCCCTCTTGCACGCGCAATGCTCGCACTCCGATCGGTTAAAAACTCCTTTCGATTAGATATGAATCCTCACTCTTGAGGAAGAACTGCCTCGGAAGGACCTCGAAGAAGAAATTATCTCGAGACTCCTTCGAAAACACACGGGTGAAACTTGAATGCAAGCACCAAGCCCTTGATAGCCTCCGGAGACCCAAGCAGGTCGGGCTGAAATGCTCTTCTCGTTGCATTCAGAACTTTTTTTTTTCTTTTTTTTTTACCAAGGTATGAGATGAGAGTTGGCAGATTTGCCTCTGTTTCATGCGTATATTATAACTGTAACGAGTCGATTTTCGTGTATTGGAACATATGAAAAAGCATGGACGGTCGAGTATAGACATCTTTACCGGGGGTCCCAGGAGGTTATATATTAATACATCCAGTCTAGCAGAAAATTGGAGAATTAAAAGGAACCATGAGGTTGCACTCACAAACGAACACTATCATCCTGCCAAGGCCCTGCACTCAATTCAAAGGATATGGATAGCCTAAAGGACAAAGGTTTCAATCACGATCACCGAAGCTAATCTGTGCAGAACGTCGTAAGTGGATCGCTTCAAAATAATGTTTAGTTACTTTAGTTTAGTTACAAAATAATGTTTAGTTAGAAGTGAGGCGAAGGGAGGTGATCACCTGGCTCAAGTGCAGGCAAATACTCGTGGGTGAAAATTCTATGTATCTGAATGACGCGTCTGATTTGACATTTGAAACGCTCTTGTGCTTCGATATACGTAAATGAAGGTCTGAGATGATTACACCGAAGATTTCCTCATCGTAATAGGAACATAATCAAAATGAACATGCTATTGTGGAAGAGGGAATTTCGTCAGCAAAATCCATGTCGCACGAGATCGTAGACTAGACAGGTCTGCTCAGCCCCGCCATAATACGGCGTCTCCTGCTGACGTCACGTGGTTCAGACGGCACACGGGAGTCCTCCAAGTGCCCCCTTAGTTTTTTTTACTCCTTCACATTTTCTGTACCTCTTTTGCGAGGCTTTATGTGTTTCTTCTGGTCATTCACGCAAAGCGGTCGAATGTGCTGTTGCGAGCTGCAAAAACCATAATGATTTCACAAAGAGGATTCGATACTTCCGCTCCCAAAAGATGGAGAAGCCAAGACAAAGTCGATCCGGAAAAAGCCAGAATGTGTTCTCATTTTCAACTTGAAGACTATGAGCGTCAATGATTTGTGAAATGTATTCTCCCTTTGATTGAAGTGTCCTGATCTTCAAGATAGGAGAGAGTCTTTTTCTGAGGGTAGAAGCTGGATAGACGCCGTTTCACGAGAGAGTTTAACAAGGCCGAATGTGGAATTTTTAAATCAGTGTTTGTCCATAGAACGAATGTTCAACGAATTTTACGGGGATTACAGGGAAGAAGGCTGTCATAAAATAATGAATTGATCTCGTGAAGGAAAAAGAAGCAGCCCCGCTTCAGGTCATGTCCACCTTTGTGCGATGCCGCACTTTCTTCCGAATTCGGAGACTGAATGGTGAGAGAGCACAGAGACACACCCAAAAGTCAGTGAAGATGAGTCGAAGAATGGACAGATTGGAAGAAAATAGACCATGAGAATGATCAAATTTCCTTTCGAATACACCGTCTCTTCATCCAGTCTGATTTGAATTACTTCACTTTAGCAAATATTGACCCATAATAAATGCATGATGAAATGTAGCTATTGCTCGGAGCGCGGGGAAGCTGTAAGGGATGAGAAAAATAATGTTTTCTCTTGTGATCTCTAAAATGCGGTAGCAGACGACGCTGCGCTCTCTTGAACCACGTGACGTCATGCGCAGAGAGGGCTCAAAACTCGCTCCGCTGTCGAGCAGACCCTGTCTAGTCTACGATCTCGCATGTCGCATCCTTCGTCGTGCCCATGATATTGTGCACGGGGACTGGGGGAGTTGGGGCTGCCGTCTCTTAAGAGGATGAAGGAAGGAAGCTCCTGAAATACCACATAAAAGCAAGGGGGAAAGGTCCAACATAAAATATCATCACAGCAAGCATCAAGGATCCACCTTGCCCGTGTCATTACGGCTCATATCACGCTGCGAGAAGGGCACGACGCCATAGGGACGTAGTTGGTAGATGAAGTACTCGAGAATGTACATGAGATTGGGAGAGACGTAATGGAAGGAGACGGCCGTGTCCGAGCAGCATCCCAGTCCTTCCGCGTGAGCGGAGTAGGCGTCGATCCATAACCAGCTGTACTCTTCGATGAGGCCGGATATGAGGTGATGCTCTGGGTCGAAAGGGAACATCCGCCAGCGTCCCAGCTCGTCCCGGGAGTCTCTCGGTTTCACTCCCACTTTGTGGAGGCACTTCCCTGCGATCGAGGAAAGCATTCAGCGGGGGGCAAAGCGGTGCTTTCCGGTTCGACAGTGGTGAAATTGAATGTGGGTGGCAAATGCAATGTACTTCAAGGTTAAAGCTAGGTGCTGCTTTGACTGTAAACGGGTCGAGGTAGACTTAGATTTTCATCTAAGTGCACCGAATGTACGGTGCAGATTGACCTGCATTGATAACTGGGCATCGAGAAAATAACTGCATGAATTAGCCCGATCACAAACGCCAGTAGTGAAACGAGGCATATCGTTCGAAGCAGAGCCATACCGAGGAGAGCTGGTGTCCTGTGCGAGATATCCCGGCCCCCCCCCCTCTATACCTCTCCATCTCCCCCAGTACCAACATTACGTATTAATTTATATGTTTAATTTAGTTAAATTCAGGATAATTAATTTTTTTTAAATTTTCATTTATATTTCGTAGCGATTCGGCAGCCAATTGGCTGCCAAATCACGTCCTCCTCAAGTCAGTAGTTCGCCAGCACGGAGCGAGCTGGCGAATCGCTCACAGCCCCCTCGGTACGGCTCTGGTTTGAAGACACTCCCTCCTCCCCCGGACATTTCTACAGTACCATATTGTTTCTTGAGAGAGATCTTAACTTGAAGACGATCTTGCTGAAGCCGTTTCAATAGCCCTATAGCATTTCCTGACCAACAATTAGGCCAAAAAATCTGATTTAAATATAATTCAGATATATATCATAAATATAAATAAAATATATTATTTAAATGTAACTCAAGGTACATTCGCCCACCTGTTTCCTTTCTTTATCAGGCGACGGTTTTAGCATGCATAAACCGGGAGAGGCATAAAAAAAAAGCCCCGCTCTTTGACAGTCTGGCGATAACGAAGAAAAAGATGGCACAACATAGTTGTCTTTCTTAATCACTTCTCCCTACCCTCCAAAAGCTGTCTGTTTCTCTCTGCTAAATTTTAATATCACATCAATGACTACAGAACTAGAATTTAAATTCTGCGCGAGGAAACGTGAAATAAACCATTTCTGACAGACATCAATGGAGAAATCTTTCAAACGCGAAATATAACGATATATTTATATTTATGATATATAATCTCTGATATATAAGGTGTTCATTAGTATCTTAATGGACCCTAAGAAGCCCACCAAATTTAATTAAAATCGAAGGGGATCCGCTACACGACTGTTGACTTCGAATGGGAAGAATTTCAAAGAGGGGCGCGTTTTTTTAGCGCTTCACCCGGAATCTATTACACCACTGATCAAAGTAAGAGGGACAAACACATAGAGACGTCCTCGGCGATCCCACGAAGAGAACATAATTTGGGATTGGGCAGGGCCTTCTCCACGAATCTCGCCAGCGCCTCTCGGCTCAGCACGTAGCCTTTAAATGGGTCCAAAAGCCTCCAGGAATCCCGAAAGTGCGACCGTCGAGGCAGACCGAGTCGAGGGAAGTGTCCTCACCTGCTCCCCCGCTCATGAAGCCCCAGAACCAACAGCCGAAGACGACTGGCTCCAGTGGGTCGCGGTGGAGGAGCATGTGGCGGAGGTTCTCCACGATGACGTAGGTGTCGTCGTCTGCTTTGAGGAACCAGTCTGCGTCGTTCCGGTGATGCTGGTACACGTATCGGAACGCCTCCCGGGTCTTGTTCCACAGCTCGTCCCGATCCTCCTTCACCTTCAAGGCCACGGTGGGCAAGGATGGGTCTGCGCAATTATGAACGGAGGTTTTCGTTCCATGTCTCGAGAGCGAGTGAGGAGCGAACGTCGTGTCCCTATCGCCCCTGTTTGCTTACCGATCATCCTGACAATACCAAGATACTTTACAAGAGCTATTTGGCCAATTGAGGGGTATTCAAAAAGCAACAAGACAAACCTGTTTTCCAAGGCACGCTCATGTTCACCCCAGATATTTCAATTTTCGCTCTAATACATCCGCAGAGAAAAACCATTACGCTCGGACAGTACCTCACTTCGTACACAATGACGTACATTGTCATAAGACTAAGCATTCACGTGGTCTCCTTCAGAAACAGTTCCTGGCTTGAGACGAATCTTGGGAAAGCTAGGAAGGACAACATCTTGATTAAACTCATGCCTACTCATATCGTGCTCCCAGACACAACATATGAAGCATCGAACTTGTGTCGTTTAGGCAGGACAAGCGAATGACAAGGCTAGGCTAGCTTTACTGTTCGAATGTAGATGGTTTTACCATATCAAATTTCTGCATAAATCCATTTCTGCCATCTAGTGATAGTGATCTCTCATCATACCTTCCTGGGAACTCATGAAGAGAAGGACATTGCATCGTTTCCCCCACGTGGCCTTCACGTGCTTGGCCTTCTTCTCGTGGTTCTCCGGCTGGGTCAAGACCAAACACAGGACCCTCACCCTCCTCGAGATCTCTTCCGCCAACACCCCTTCACCTGTGAATGCAAAGACCCAAGTCCCTTCAACCCTCCAGCCGCAGGGGAGAAGGATGTCACGGAAGATGGAGGACCTCGATGAGCGACTTCCTGGCGGGAATGGTCACCGAGGACAGCCTTCCCGTCCACCTCCGGATGCGTGGGGATCGGACCCCGCTCCCGCTCCGCTCTGTTTAAAAAATTGCACTGCCTCATTATTCGCATCTTCACCCATTCAGAGGTGACTTGGAGGCTTAATAAATTTCTTCTGAAAGAGCTTTCAACCTCCTGATGGTCTTTGGAAACTTTCAAATGTGGATGAGAGGTATTCTAGAACTCTTCTATTTAGTACCATCTCTCCTATTAGTTATTTATGTCGGTCAATAGATAACAACTTCTTTTACCCGTCGACCTCTTTTCTATTCGGCAACCCGGGAGAACTACTGGAGCGAAGACACAATTTCCTCACCGAGAGTAGAAAAGGGCACGGGGGTGAAGCAAATCGTAGGAGGAAGAGATGAAAATGTAGGCAAACAGGGATCCCACGCACAGTCCGCAGATCAAGGCTCCCAATATCTCTTTCTTAGGGCTTCCTTCGAAAGAGAAATTTGAAAATCAGCGGTGTTGGGCGGTAACGAAGCAAAAGTAACGCATTACTGTAACTACGTCTTACGGTAACTTCAGAGGTAACGAGTGACTGCAAAGACTAGTTACGGAAGAGTAACTAGTTCCTTTTTCGTTAGGCGTCGCTATAACGCGTTGCTTTCTCGATGAAAGTGACGAGTGCTGCTTAACAAAATACATCTTTGCCATCGTTGAACTCATTTACGAAGTTGAAAAACGCAGTTCAAGTGCACAGCAAAGTAGAAACGTAGAAGGCGAGGTACAAATGTGTACATATTGCGTCCCTCGGGTCTGCATGTGTGGTCCAGACGTGGACATGTGCAGTACTCAAAGTAGACATAAGATGGCGTTTATGTTCCCTCAAACTTTCGAACTCGGGTCAGGACTCACCAGACCTTAGAAGAGTTTTCTTCCTTTCCCTGAATTTATCTTATCGTAATACTTGTAAAGGAGTATTTAGTAAAAGTATAAATATCATGTTTCAATGGCAATCGATGATTCTGGAAAATTTTAAATGCTGGGGTTTTGTACGGGAACAGAGAAGTGTGAACCAACAGGTTGAGTTTCGTCCTGTTACTACGGTCTACATGATGACCAGGAGAAGACCCTGTTCATGAGACAGAGCACGCTCTATGCGGAATGGAGACGCGGTAAGCGTGTTATCAGTGACAGATCGCTGCCTGTCGTAGACGTGGTGCTGGATGACGGGCCAGTAAAGCCGACAATTGAGGTTCATGAGCCGGCTTTTGAACCCCTTAAGCCTCACGTGGATAAGAGATAAGAAAGGTACACACGTGTACCTTCTGTACCTTTTCAACGAACGTATTTTACGACATATGTTTTTACCTCATAAACTACAAAATGTGTACGTTTCTGCTTTGCTGTGTGCGATACGCGCCAACCGACCAGTGCCGCTGAGGAGAGGCTATTTCAGCGCAAGCAGGCGCATTTCCACCGATAACAGAATTTCTTATGGATTATTTCCTATCGGATCGGTTCCAAGGGCGGACCCGACACCCGCGAGAGCGTCGGCCGAAGTTTTTTGCACCCCAGCAAGGAAACACGGAGTTGTCTTGTGAGTGGTTTCACGGGCGTGAGTCGTCTCCACTCTTACAAAGGAGTGAAAGGGGGTGAAGCTGGTTAACCTAACGCTAAGTAAACTTAGCGATTTTGCTCCCTAAAAAGGAGGAAGGTAAAAAAAAAAGGAAAAGAAGGAAGTCGCTCACCTCTCTCTATCCTAAGAATGACCACTAACTCTTTCTAATTAGTTTCTTTAAAACCAATTTTAAAATTACTTCCCCCCCCCCCCCCCCCCCCCCCCCCCNGAGGCGGGGGACCAGGATTGGAAGGAGAAGGCGGGAGGGGATGGGCCTTGACCTCACGCTACTCCCCCCCCCCCCCCCCCCCCCCCCTTCGTTTCACGCTTTTAAAAAAGTTATGGATTCTGCTCGGATATGAGAGTAGTTATCGATTGTATGCTCTCGTTTTTAGGGAGTGAAATCGCTCACTCTTTTCCAAGAATGCAGCATTTTCCTAGCTCAGTCCTCGTTTACGGGCTGCGGTGAATCGAATCGAAGGGGAAGGTTGAGAAATTGCACGAACGAAACTCGATGAGACGTTCCCGTGACACGGCGACGTTCGCGTTCAAACGTCAGGACTCGGTTCGACAGCGACCGTTTCGTCGATATACCGCCACCCTCGCTTAACGCCGGCTGAAAACAAATCTTCCCCATTTGCTTAATTTTTTTTGCTTAATTTTTTTTGCTTACTTTTTTTGCTTAATTTTTTTGCTTAATTTTTTTTCTTAATTTTTTTTTTGTTCTCTCTCGTCGTAGCGCCACTATCGCGAGCCGCCGTTCGCCAACACTGTCATTTGTACGAACATCCTCTTTTCTGCATAAATCCACCGCGATTTTGCACCAAGTGGCCCTCACAGAAAAACCGCAAGGGACTCTGTGACTCAGTCACATGTGAGCATGTCACAGGATGACAAATCACACGAGCAATCACCCTGTGGGAATGCGTCGCGTGATCTATCACCCTCTGAGTGCTTTAATGGACGGGCCAATCTAGCCGACATGACTTATTGCAGGACGAGAAGTCACACCCTCTTCGAAATTCAGGGAGGGATGTCAGATAGGGATGTCAGGTAGCATCTCTGCCCATTATAACTTCCCGGGTCGAAGTCGAGCGTTCATTTAAAAATCCTCCAGGCCATAAGAGACAAAAATTGTGGGAGCACCACTTTCTACTCCCAATTTAATTAACTCACTTCACTTAGTGAAAAATGTATGCTGAAAAATGAATGAATTTTTAACAATTTCAAAATCATCATTTGTATTAATCATTCATTAACTAATTAACGGTTAATTAACTCCCAGTTAGGCAGGCGCACGGAATGACCCTGCGGGGCTGAGCAGGGGCCAATGGGGGAGGGGGTGCCAGGCAGAAGGTCAATTTTAAGCCATAACTAGACATGAAAACGGCTGTATGTAGGCTTCTGGCAGGATCTGATGGGGATTGCGCAGATAGATTAGAGCTGATGAAATGTCATTTAAAAGGGTATTTCAACTTTTTTTTCTGCAGAGGAGCGCCTCGATCGATATTTTCATTTCTGGACTGGAATATTGATTTTATGGAATTCCTCCCCTTCTGCCCATTCAGTCAGCGAACGACCTCCGAAACAGGACGTTCCTTCGACTCGTGTGCCTTTCTTCGCGAGAAATGCGGAATGGAGACGAAGTGCTTCGACTAGGAGGAACTCAATTAGGGCACTTCGTCGCCAGGGGATATTCTCTCGGTGAGGGGATGCATGGGGACGAGATTGGAGGGCTTCTGCCGATGCGGAATGGAGATGGATTCACTCGACCTTGGGGTCTGATAAGGTCACTCGAAAAAGACGCGAAGGGAATGGTTAATTCGTCGGCGGAAAACGAGGTGACCCGAGGTCGGGCCGACCGATTCATCAAGGCGCAACGGAAGAGGTTTCCGAGGCACAATGCCGATGAGGTCAAGGTCAAGGTCGCCTCTGCATTACGGTCGGGCATCCCCAATTATCACCTTGGGACAGATCTTACAACCCCAGGATCGAGGGAAGACAGAATACCGGTCTTTTATGGCCTATATGCGCTCGGCACGGGAGAGAAAAAAAAAAAATCCATATTTCCCTTTGAGAAATCTTTCCAGTTTTTGAGATATCTTTTCGCAGGCAGTCGTCATTTCTTTCACTCCATTACCATCTCTCGTCTCCTCGATCTTTCTCTTCGCATTATTTTATTCTTCCCCCCTCGCTTTTCTCTCTGTTATTTAATTGTTATCCCTACCTTGCCTTCCCGGTAACCTGGTTACCAGGATACAGAACTTTTTCCACCCCTGCTTTCGAGAAATGAGGTTTTCCAGAGAGAATTTTATTTCGCACTAATTTCAAATAGGATTCGGCCTTTCTCCGAGGTAAAAGTGGTGGATCCTCCTCCGTCTAGTTGCGCTTCGCGATCGCAGTCGCGGGGATGACGCTTCGGGATCGCAGTCGCGGAGCCGCGCCAGTCGTTTAGAGGTGTCTGCGGTCATGCTTTTTTTCAGAAGGGGGATCTCTCGTCTCGTGCGTGTTTCCGATGCTCTGACGCGTGTTCGCTGCACGCACGCCGGGGGGTAATTTTGGGGTAATAACGATGATTTTAAAGCAAAGTATCGTCAGGTTCAAGATCGAATTTTAAAGATGCCGAAAATTAAAAACATCGTTCGCGGGGCTAACGAGGTTCACACGTGAGTCACACCCTAGCCGATCAGATGAGACATGCGATGTGACAGTGTGACGGGGTGGGAACGACCTATCACGTACTGGGTTCACACATGCCTGCGACCAGAGATAGCACATTGCAAGTGGTCACAAGAATGAGTCACATCCCTTCCCATTCACTTGTGACATTGGGGGTGAGACGAGCAATCACATGCCTCTCACATGTGACACAGCATGTGATCCTGGGTGATTTTTCCGTTCGGGGCCAATGGAGCTACTAGTAGATGTTCGCTGACACCGCGGAACGGATGGCAATGCAAGCTGCACGCCCGCTGAGCCAATTTGAGGAGATTTTGGCGAAATCGCCAAAATTCCTTGGACGTACGATTTCGTGCACATGTTTTCGAAATCGTCTCTACAAAATGAATGGGTCGCGGCGCTGAGGCAAGTGAAGGGGGATTATCATACATTTTCTATGGGATTATTATTATCATCATGATTATTAGTTTCTTTTTTATGCAGTTGAAGTGGAAGCAAAAGATATCCGACACGTGAGAAATCTCGCAAGCAGATCAGATTGCTTCTGCGCAGCATTCCCATGAAGAGAGGGGGAACAAAGACGAACGAGGAAAGGAATCTCTCCAGGCTCCCCCCCCTCCTCCTCCTCCTCGTCTCACATATCGACCTGACGGATCCAGGCGCCAGCACTCGGGTACCCCGTCACCAGGACTCGGGTGCCCCGTCACCAGGACTCGGGTGCCCCGTCACCAGGACTCGGGTGCCCCGTCACCAGGACTCGGGTGCCCCGTCACCAGGACTCGGGTGCCCCGTCACCCGTTCCAGAAAAACTTGTTCAATACACTAGCGCCTCACCGAAGGCATGGAGACACGAGACGAGGCGTGAAATCCATCCCGAAAAGGCGCTCATGGTCACGCACTCACAGCCGAGGGGTGACATTCGACGTGCAGCGTCACGCCGCACGCAAGATGTCGCCGTCGCTTCTCGACGCCGAGTGACGGCCTCGCTTCACGCTCGGGAGAATATCCGCTTTTCCCTCGAATTTTCCTTGTTTTCTTTCCGAAACGGGTCGATTCTAATTTGACGGATTCCTGATTTTGCCGGGTTCGAGCCGGAGAGACCGGATTTCGTGTCCGGGGCCCGTTCAAGGCCCATACGATAGAAGCGCATACATAAAGTAAAATAATATCTATAAATACCGTGTGGAAGACCAACATTTTGCTTCCAAATTTGGTCAATTCCGTTTCAGCGAAAACATCGATCAACTTTCGCCCGGTGGGCAATCGGCGCAGACGAGTCCATTCACGGAAGGAAACGCTGCTTTGAAATTCCGACTGATGCGATAAATATTCTCGAGGCGGAAAAAAAAGGCAAAATATACTTACTTTCTGCAACGTTGCACCAGAAGGAGCGCCGTGTTTCGTCCGGAAACTCTGCCGAGATCCAAGTGCAGACGCGGTGCGTTCTACTTATTTTCCGCTTCGGGCAGACTTGCACTGCTTTGGGTCAATTCGCTCCTTAAGGGAAAAGGGAAAAAAAAGTTTAATCCAAACTCGTCTTTAATCCAACTCAAGTGCCACTCTGAATTGGGGGGGACAGGTACCTCCCAGGGTTGGGTGGTGCCCCTAGGGGCAGTTTCCGGCCATCCAGAGTCACGAGAACGTGGAATCCAATTATTGCGGAGCTCAGTGCAGATCTCGCATGGGGAAGACGGCGATTTTCAGGAAATGCTCAGAACAGCTCACACAGAAAATACATTTTCGGCAAGTGAAAGAAATTCGGACAAGCAGTCAACTCGAAGGCCTCTCTTTCCACTGTGGCTTGGTCACAGATGACAAATGTCTGACTTCCCGCTTCGAAATAATTTATGAGGAAAACAGTAAATACGTAATCCTATTGACCAGAATTGGATTCTGCTGCATTTTGGGAAAAGCGACAGGATAAAAAAAAATCCATAGTCCAAAGTCTTGAATTCTCATCTATTAGGTTCCCAAATCTGTGAAATTTGGTGGAACGATGCTGAAAAATCACAGATTGATACCTGCTACATCCAACAATGGGAAATTCATTAATTCGCCCGCTCTAAACAGCAACAGGAGACCAACAGAAAAAATATCAGGACAGTTTCAGAGGAAACTTAAATGAAAAAATAACATACAAAATATCAAAATCCTAACTAAACCCCAGTGGATCTTTACAAATAAGGATACTCCCTGCCAAAAATAATAACTCAAGATAACACACCCTACAGTATATTAAATACATTCTTTTTTGCCTTGTAAATCTTCGTGGAAAGTTTTCATCCCCTACCCACAGTAACATATAATCTTCCAGGTACGTTAGCAAAACAGTACTATCACAATGGCACAAAACCGGATTAAGCAGTTAATAAAATATTAGAGAAATCAGAAACTGCAAGAATCCAGATGCAATATGACAAATAAAATCCAACAAGAAAATCATGGACTAGAAACGCATCACCACATGTGACGGAGATCCGCAACGAAGCCTCAAAATAGCCCAAGCAACATAAGAGATATGATCCGCCAACTGTCCTGAAGCAAACTTCAAAATATTGCATTATGAGACAGCAAAGAGAGATGAGAATAGAGAAGAACCAAGAAACACCGGAAGATATCAAGATTGGGACTTGAACTGGTTCGTTTCGTTGTGAGTCACCGGCTGAACGTGTTGGGAGAAGGGCACGATGCCGTAGGGACGTAGGTGGTAGATGAGGTACTCGAGGATGTACATGAGATTGGGAGAGACGTAATGGAAGGAGATGGCCGTGTCCGAGCAGCATCCCAGTCCTTCCGTGTAAGGGTAGTAGGTGTTATTCCAGATCGAGTTCCCCTTGCCGGTGAGGCCGGGTATGAGGTGCTGCTCTGGTTCAAACGGGAGCATCCGCCAGCGTCCCAGCTCGTCCCTGGAGTCTCCCGCTTCCACTCCCACTCCTTGCAGGCACCGCACTGCAATCGAAAGGGGAACATTGAACACACTGGCCCTGACGGTAGCTAGGGTGTACTCTCTCTGGTGAAGTTTCACCAGTGTGGATACTGGATTCTCTAACAGGGGAAATCATGAGAGTGCCAGCCCAGGTCCAGATCTACGATTCCATTGGCCCCTATACCACTGGAATTATCATATTCGTCGCATCCTAACCATCCAACCTTGAAATAAATAATAGCAATTGGTACGTCATAGGCCTATATGAAAAGGCCCGAACAACTAGACATGCTCTCGATGGTTCGCGCGTCCGCGTCGCGTGGAAATGGGAGGACAGTATGAAGTACAGGATACCAGACGCGGCATTTCACGCGTACGCCTAGCAACCCTGTCTAAGCGGCCGCGAGCAGCCTCTTTCTCATTGTCTTGCATGGATCCGTCATCCGCGACGGCTGGAAGGGAAGTGGATGTTTTAGTGGAAGACGGGCACCCCGACCCAAGGAAAGCTGCACACGCGCAGCCAGTCGCGTCCGGTTGCAATGGATACTGCGAACAGACAGAATGAAAAAAAAAGTGACAGACCGATCGCAATATCTGCCATTTCCCCATGGTATCTATGGGAATGCCAGATACTAATTAGCGATCAGAAACGCTCGAAGTTAAAGAAGACCCATGGACCGACGATTCCAACACTGTTTCACCCGGGTGCTTTAAGAGAGGGCTCATGCCCTGGAGACTATCTTGCTGGAATTCCTCATATCCGAATATATAGTATTGTCCAATCACATCTAAAAAGTAGGCTGGGAATGTCTTATATGAACAGATGCGTCCAACTACTTACGTTTCGCTGGATGGACCGTATATAATGGCATTACTTAATCATAAGTAACGTCATTATACACACACAAAAAAATTATTTAAACAGTGACAAGCCCATGTTCTTATCCTAAATGGATTTATTGAATTCGTGATCATCGATGCGAATGGAAGATAACAGGAACATACACGCAGTGCTTTCCTCGTTGTCCGCAAACACGGGACAGACATGCGGATTGGGTAAAGCCTTCGCCACGAATCTCTCCAGTGCCTCTCGACTCAGCACATACCCTTCGAGAGGAAAGAACAAAACTCCCAGGGATCCGAAAAAGGGAATCCAAACGTGTCAGTCGTGCTCACCTGCTCCTCCACTCAGAAAACCCTTGAAGCGACAGCCGAAGACGACTGGCTCCAGCGGGTTGCCGTCCTGGAGCATGTAGCGGAGGTTCTCCACGATGACGTAGGTGTCGTCGTCTGCTTTGAGGAACCAGTCCGCGTCGTCCAAGTGATGCTGATGCACGTATCGGAATGCCTCCCGGGTCTTGACCCACAGGCGCTTCCCATCTTCCTCCACTTTCAGGACAACGGTGGGCAAGGACGAATCTGCATATTCATCGATAGAAAGGTACTAAGATTGCGCGCCCGTCATTCCTGTTGGCACATCAATGGTCATGATAGTCCACAACTGGGAAAATAAAAACCTTGTCATGTCATCTTGGGGGCGGAAATCTAGTAGCACAGCTAATTTGTTTTTACAACCCCTAGGGAGATGCACAGCCTTCGCAAGTCTTTAATAATTCCAGCGTGTTCATTAATATTAAAGCATTAATAAACATGAACATGAATATTCATTAATATTTTTGTCTTGAAAAGTGGAGTATCAGTCAATGTTTTAGCACAAAGCCGTTCGGAGGGCGTCGACATGTTGAAAACGAAGTAAAAACAATGGCGATCGAGTGAAAACTGCTCGGGATTCTGTTCATATCTAGAAATTTCAGAACATTTCAATTCTTCATCCATTCGAGAGTGGACTCTAGATATTCCCAAGAAAAGAGTTGAGTCGATTTCAAGCCGTTTTCAAAGTCGGAACCGCCGTTCATATTTTATTAGGGTTAACGTTTTTAACGACGGCTCGGCCTCCAACCCTTATAGTGAAAAGAGCCGATTAGGTCGACGTTATGAATCTCGTTGGAAAAGTTCGAGAAGAAACGCGATCGAACGCTCGGACAAAATACGTTTCTTAACCCTTTTATCCGACTCCAGCATTTTTTCAACGAAGTTCGTAGCGTCGACATAATCAGCTCTGGCACTATGAAGGTTAAACATCGTAGATGTGATATTTGGTGGGAAGGAGAATGGGACCATCGCGAAATATAGCGCTAATGGAAACAGCCACATTCGATCTCCAAAATGATCATTCTGGAGATCGAATGTGGCACTTGAAGCACTTGGTCAGGAGCGACTGACCCGGGAGCGTCCTTTCTACCTTCCATATTGCAGGATTTTTGAAGATTCTACTTAGCTTCTCTTTTCCTATCGACAATATTTCATCATACCTTCCTTGGAACTCATGAAGAGAAGGACATTGCACCGCTTCCCCCACGTGGCCTTCACGTGCTTGGCCTTCTTCTCGTGGTTCTCGGGTTGGGTCAAGACCAAACACAGGACCCTCACCCTCCTCGAGATCTCCTCCGCCAACACCCCTTCACCTGTGAATGCCAAGACCCGAGTCCCTTCAATCCTCCAGCCGTGGAGGAGAAGGATGTCACGAAGGAAGATGGAGGACCTCGATGAGCGACTTCATGGCGGGAATGGTCACCGATGACAGCCTTCCCGTCTACCTCCCGATGCGTGAGGATCAGACCCCGCTCCCGCTCCGCTTTTCTGATTTCAAAACGACCCTGCCGTTTTTATTCATTGAAGACTTCGTTTATGTTACTCGAAGTCGTGGGAGTTGTTTTTGCTTCCTCGATCTTTTCGTCCCTTAAATACTAATGAAGACCCATCCATAAAAATGCTAGCATTTAATTTATTTGCTTCAAATATAATTCTTACGAGGAATTATTGCCGAAAGAGAAGGACCGGTTTGAAAGCGAAATTCTCACCGATAGAAGGGATAGGGCTGGAGCAAATCGGGGAAGGAAGAGAGAAAGACACAGGTGGACAGGAATCCCACGCACACCCCACCGATCAAGGCTCCCAACGCCTCCTTCTGAGGGCCTCCTATCCAGGATCAAGGACAGAGAGGGTGGAAGAAGACGACGGGATTTCGGCGGGCCCCGAGCCTAGCAGGGTTCGACATGTGTCAGACGGGCAGCGCGCTTTGCAACTGCAAACATCTGAGATTCGGTGCGGATGAGCCTCATGGCTGCTTCGGTGATGTTCGCTCGCCGTGAGGTCTCCCTGCCTCCCTCCCCCTCCTCTCCTCCCTTCTCCTCCCTCCCTGTTGATGACTTTTGTATCCCTAAATTCCATAATTTCTTCCCTCTCTTATTTTTTTGCAGTTCATGCATTTTACTACATTTTTTTTCCATCCAACGCGAAATTTCCTCATCGTGCGAGGTATCTGGTACTTTTCAGGTACCCGAGGAATCCTGACACTAAGGTTCCCGTTGCCGGCAATTGATTATAAGGCCTTTTTTGCCTGACCTGATTTTCGACAAGTTAATCCCTTTAATGCATGATTTTTTCTTTTTCGGCGAAAAAAAATCTGGTAGGTTCTACTTAGGTCCTAGAACACGGGAAAATCGGGGGAAACATCCCTTCCTCAAATTTATAAGTAGTAGGCCCGAAAATGTTATTGTAGCACATTTGCTGCAAACAACATTTTCGGCTTTCTAACCCACGCTCCAAGGAGGCTAGAGAGCTCAGTCGGTCAGTCTGCATTCGTACATACCTCAACGCAAAAGGAAACGTACAAATACGGATGAACCTGGACCCTGAATTAACGTAAAGTTGAAAAAAGTTGCACCCACAACGTCAGTCCGTCACACGACGCGGCCACGTGTTTTTAATTTGCTTGCAAGGAGTGTAGGGCATCTAGCGACCGCTGGGGCACTAGGAGCCCTACACTCCTGGGATACCAGGTACCCCAGCGGTCGCCAGGTGCTCTACACTGTCGCACGTCTGCTATGAGCTGACTTAACGCAAGAGATCGCTACCGACGCATTATTTATAAAAAAAAATTATATTTGGGATTTAGCATATCTGTTACATAATGCATGGAAGGGTTATATCACGAGCTCTAGCTTGAAATGAAAACGAAATCGGGAAGACGGCCTTTGCCTCACCTCGACGCTTCGATTGCGCCGAATGCATCATAGCGGTTGAAATTCTCGAGAATTTCGAGTCGTCACGGAAAGGAATCACCGTCTCACAGTTTCTGTGGAACTCTCTCGGTTTTTCCCCCTCGTTGACGCGCGAGAAATGCGGGAGAAATTATGCTGCGTCAGCGTTTGACGCCGCCCGCGAGAGGATTTCGTGGCGCAGAATCGTAACGAATTCGGTGCGAAGTTCAGTACAAGTACTGGTACTTCTCACCCTGCGTGCAGCAGAGCGACATGCACGATGACGCTGGGGATTCGTTCGCAAATCGTCGTATCATAGGCCTAAAGGGCCTAAAGGGAAAATATGACGAAAAGGAAACGTGACATGAACCTCACCGTCGTGTCAGTCGGACCCAGATGAGCAAATAGACTTGAATGATCGAATAGATGAGCAAATACGCCAGTGACGGCTCTCGTGCGGATTCGGACGAGGACTGCGCGCCTGCCAGTGTTGCCTTCACCAGTGTTGCCAGGCTTCGAGCGAGGCGAGGATGCAATCGTGGCCCTGTTCCGTGGCTGCCGGGGGGATTCCCGCCGGGAAAAAAAAATCCATTTCGAGGCTGGGATTTGCTCGGTTGAAACCGGAGATGAGCTGTGGCCTTCGCGATCGTGGTCGGTTTTGATGACGTCACGCAACTGAGCCTGGTCGAGTTCGCGGTTTTTCGTGCTGATGACGTCACGTGTCTCGGCCGATCGCAGTCGGGTCGGGTCTGGCCTGCACGGTCGGGGATTTGTGGTTTCAGCGATTGAAGGATCATTTCAGATTGGCTGGGGTGTTCCTAATTTGTTTCTTCCTTCACTTTTATTCATTCGGTGTACGAGCATTGGATACATTCATGTTTTCGTGGGTTAAGGCTAATGCTAAAACCTTAAAAATGCAAAGACGAGATAATTAGAAGGTGGTCGATTCGTAGAAGCAGCCAACTTCAAGAGTTCTCTGCTCGTGGAAAACGTAGAAACGACGAACATCTGAGTTCCCACACAAAAATAATTTATTTAGACACAAAAGAAAACCAGATACATACTCCTACTGACCAGAAACGAAATCTGCTGCATTTCGGCAAAAAAAAGTGATATGTCTAAACGATTCTAAATGCCAATGAAATGGCTTGGAATCTCATCCATCGGACTGGCAATGCAAGGTGGAACAAAAGGGGAAAATCACAGACTACTAATGCCCGGTAATGGGAAACTCGATAATTTATCTCAGAAAATATGGGAATAAGACCAACAGAACAAACAAAAAAAATATCGAAAAAAAATGCTCTTCTTGATGCAGTCTATAGCAAATGACGTGCCTCTGTGGGTTACGAAGGCAAGCAATAATGCTCCTTCTCGATGGTTCCAATAGTTTGAGATCAATACCCTTGAAAATTATGGTACTAATTTCATGAAAATCCAATTTTTTAAATACTGGTATGCTGACACTCCATGCCAAAGCCATCATAATAGCCAACACGGTAACGAACGAATCACTAATTTTTTTTTTTTTTGCCCTCTATGGTAACGATGAGTTTCTATTCCTTAGCTACAGTGCCATGCAACCTTCCAAAAAGATGGTCGCAAAAATGCAGTGGTAGGAAAACGATACTGCCACGATGGCACATAACGGGGTGAGCTTCCTTAAAAACAAAAAAGGATGATCACAAACGAGACAGATGCCACTCTGGTGAGGACGAAGTACGTCGGACGAGAAACTCCCGGACTAGAAACGATACCGTCATCACGCGTGACAGAGATGCACCAAAAAAAAAAAAATTTCACACGAAAACCCATGTTGCAAAAAAAAAAAAATATAGGATCTGCCGAATACCCTGAAGCAAACTCGAAAAATATCACATGACATAAAGGAAAAAGATCCAGGAAATCGCTATGGGATCACAGTCGGGATCGAGACGTGGGTCTCGGCCTGGCCCGTGTCACCGCGAGTCTCGTGCCGGTCGTGCTGCGAGAAGGGCACGATGCCGTAGGGACGCAGGTGGTAGATGAGGTACTCGAGGATGTACATGAGATTGGGCGCGACGTAATGGAAGGAGACGGCCGTGTCCGAGCAGCATCCCAGTCCTTCCGTGTAATTGTAGTAGACGTAGCTCCAGAACCAGGTGTCCTTGCCGATGAACCCCGGGATGAGGTGATGCTCCGGGATGAAGGGGAAGAACCGCCAGCGTCCCAGCTCGTCGCGAGAGTCTCCCGCTTCCACTCCCACCGCATAGAGGCACTTTCCTGTCGTTCCGAAGACGAAAGAGAATGCAAACACCCGATCTTAATGTTGGTATCGACATGCTGTATATCAACATGGAGGAGTCGATAAAAGCCATTAAAAGTGTACTCTGAGACCTCGTGCTTCGTGATCTACAGGGTGTGCCAAAAGTAGGTATAAAGTATGAGACACGTGGAAATGCTAATCTCTTACATGCTCGAAGAGTTTGCCCTCATTGTTCACACATTCCAGTCTGCCTGCCACACTGCGACACACTTTTTCACAAAGATCTTTCTTTGCGTTTGACTCTATTAACTACCGATAAATAAAACAAAAAATAAAATAGGCAACTGTATACCTACTTTTGGCACACCCTGTACAGTTAGTCTCTAGCTTTTTTTTTTCTTTCTCTCGTTTCCCTTCCTCTCGGTCTCAACACCGTAAATCTAGGCGAGCAGAAGGCATCGACCCTCATGACAGCTAAGACGTATGAAAAGAGCAGAGACCCATTCCGACATCCTCGGAGCCCTCAAAAACGGGGCAGGACATGGGATTGGGCAGGGCCTTCTCCACGAATCTCTCCACCGCCTCTCGACTCAGCACGTACCCTTAAAGAAATGAAATTAAAAAAAAAAAACCTTGAGGAATCGCAGAACGGCAATCGACCCGACCGACAGAACCGAAGCGTCCCGACCTGCTCCCCCGCTCATGTACCCTTGCTTCACGAACTTATTGAACCGACAGCCGAAGTAGACCGGCTCCTGCGGATCGCGCTCCAGGAGCATGTAGCGGAGATTCTCCACGACGACGTAGGTGTCGTCGTCCGCCTTGAGGAACCAGTCCGCGTCGTTCAGGTGATGCCGATGTATGTATCGAAACGCCTCTCGGGTCTTGTCCCACAGGTGATTCCGATCTTCCTTCACGTTCAGCGCCACGGTGGGCAAGGACGGATCTGCGTGGCCAACGGTGACGGTTTTCAGGTGGGATAGAATCGAGTCGAACGACCGAACTCGTTCGATCCGAGAAAACGTCGAGATGAAAAAAAAATCCCACCGATGTGGCATGTAGTGCACGCTTACTGAATCGTTCATAACGGAACCACTTAAAATTCCAAGCGCGGTCCGATCGATCTCGACTGGACGTAACTACATCGAGACCAACCCAGTGACTTAAAACTGGATCACCAGTCGATGAAAGACAATCCTTCACGATTCGGGTCGGGAACCATTCCGACTGGATCTAGCTCGGATCCAAGACGGTGACCGATGTCTGATGATGAATATGAAGGTCTTTCCCTTCCAAAAGTGCAGTTAGGCATGTCCGTGGGTGATTCGAATCAAAGATCGATAATAATAAACATTTTGTCTGATTTTTCTGATCGAACCAATTTCCAATCCCAGGAAAAGTGTTCGGTGAGGATATTGGACTATTGGACACTTGACTTTTCGCCAATTCAGGATTTCACCAATGACCACCTCTGCTCCTCCAGCTGATGCGTGAATTTGCTTAGAAGCACCGCAAAATCCTCAATGGTCCCTTTGTCACCATGCAAAACTTCTCCCTTTCGGGGATTTCCTTCAGGCATCAATTTGAAGTTCCCGTGTTTGTAATTGCGGTTCGAGCATGTTCCCGCGATTAACGAGCAATTTTGAGCATTATCCCTGTCTCATGAACATCTCAAAATGAATTGTCTCACGTGACTAATCATCCAATTACCATTAAAAAAAAAAACTTTGAAAAAAAAGCGAGAATAGTGAGAAATTTCAAGGGATGCTTCAATCATGACAGGGTCTATGCAAATAAGCAGCGACTCCTACAAATCACCACTCCTATTCATATGCCACTAGATGGGGTATGAATAGGAATTTTTTTAAACATTTAACGAGCATTAAGCACCCATCTTCAATAGATACTAAAAAAAAAAGCATTAATTCCAGTCAAAAGAAAGCCCAAAGCCATTTTTTTCGAGCATCATAGGATGGCCAATAAAAAAATAATGCTTTCAGCTTCTTCATCGGCTCCATCTCGCATTGTAAGTAAAAGTGATGGGATTTTGTAATAGGAAAAGTGCAATCATTTTTCAACTTTTTCCCCCCCTCCCCCCCCAATTCGAAACATCCACGGAAGCCCCGCAGCCGCTCGTGTCTGCTCCCGTTCACGGGCGGCCCGACGAGAACACGCACACGGCGGCACGCGCACTACCCGAGCGATGGGTGCTTCGCGTGCCTACTGCGTCCCCAAGGCCCCTCAAACATTGTGAATTACAAATATTATCATTAATTTAAAAAATTAAACTCCGCATACTGCTGCGGCTTTCACCGCCTAAGTTGTTTTTTATTGTCGCTTTTTCTTCTAGCGACGGGGCACAAGGCCGACACGAACAACAACGACCCCATACGCGGAGAGGAATGGGGTGCCCGCTCGGCACACCCACCAACCCTCAACCCACCCACCAACCCTCAACCCACCCACCAACCCTCAACCCACCCACCAACCCTCAACCCACCCAGTCCCTCGGTCAGGGACGCTCTAACACGGCCTTGTGGGAGGCTTTAGGGGTCGCTCGCGGGTCGCCTAAACCCACGACAGGCACGAGTGATTCTTAAGGTGTATTAACTCGTTCCTCCCCTCCTCTCCCCTCCCCCCCCCCTCATTTCCCATTTCCGAGATAGATGATAGATCTTTTCCACCTCACCTTCCTTGGAACTCATGAAGAGAAGCACATTGCACCTCTTCCCCCAGGTGGCCTTGACGTGCTTCGCCTTCGTCTCGTGGTTGGCCGGCTGCGTCATGATCCAGCACAGGATCCTCACCTTCTTCGAGATCTCCTCGGCCAACTCCCCCTCGCCTGTCGACACCGTCGACACCGACTCGTGAATCCCCGATCGTCAAATCTCGGAATTACGCTCTTTTGGATCGGAATCGGATCGGAATCGTGGCCCCGAGAATGAGATTTAAATGTCATAACGAATTTCTGGATCCCGAGCAGAAATTAAATCTGGTCACAAAAACACTTTCTGAGAGTGCATAAAAATCTGCCAAGATTGCAACTGATACCCAAATCATCTATGAAAGAATTTTTTTTCCCCCTGAAAGATTGTCCTAGTGGAAATTCCCTATTCACGGGATGCAATCCCAATCACTTACTCCTGCACCTCTGGCAAAACCGGTTCGAATTTCGGTTCAGAATTTACCCACGACCACTCTCAACCATCAGCTCCAGTAAACAATGAGAAATCATTTTTTTTTTTAAAACTAATTATAAATAAAGAGAGAAAGGACCTCGATGAGCTCGCTCATGCTGGGAATGGTCCCCGATGACAGCCTCCGGACCCACCTCGCGATGCGTGAGGATCGGACCCCGCTCCGCCCTGCTTCATTCAAAAGAAATTAAATATATATATATATATATTATTTTTAATCGCTCCGTCTTCGTCCTCGAACTTCTCGCGACTGACACCGTTGAAACTTCCGTACTTTTCGTTACAATTTCTCATCGATCGTGCCGATTTGTATCGGCCGTCTCGATTGGAAATCTTTTCCAGAAAGGCATTGGGAACAAAGCGAGTTTAACCGATGGCTAAATTATAGGTTATCCGAATCGGAAAATAAAACATATTTATATCGATCAACTCGAGTATGATACCATCCGAGATTTATATTTATACCTATTGTAGAAGAGGGAATAGGGGCGAATCCATTCGGAGGAAGCGGAGAGCGAGAGCAAGGCGTAGGCAGACAGGAATCCCACGCAGACTCCGCAGATCAAGGCTCCCAGTATCCCTTTGTTTGGGCCTCCTTCGGATCGAGAGAGAAGTCACGCATTAAAATAAATTTTACATAATAATTCACCCGCAGGCATTAAAATACATTTTTAATAATAATTCATCCGGGAGAACGAAATGGGGGGATTCTCCGAGGAGAGAAAAAAAAATTAGCTTCCGTCAACGCGAGGACGCACACGATTGCGTCCGCTCGAGCTCGGATGCAAAAAAAAAAAATATATATATATATATATAATGCGCCGGCGGTGATTGTCAAAGCGTGACAAAGAAGGCGGAAGCGGGAAGTCAAAATTGGCAACGTTGTAATCATTGTGAACATTGTTGAGCCGAGGGGAAATAGAAATCCCGCGCTCGATGGTGGGCCTCCCATAAAAAAAAAAGTCCTCAATTTACAAAAAAAAAAGTTTACGGAGGGAGGCTGACTCGTGTCGATTTTTCACTCGTGCCGGCCGGTTTTTCACTCGCGCCGGCCGGTTTTTCACTCGTGCCGGATGACACCTGTGCCGCCGTTTGGGCGCGTCGTCGCGAAATTCGCAATGCCGAAACGACGACGTCTGACAGCCGGCTTTCGGGTTTCGTGCCTTCGCCTGGCGGGCGCGCGGGCGTGCGCGCGGGCGTGTGCGTGCATGCATACGTGAGCGTGCATGCGTGCGTGAGCGCGCAAACCTCTTCGCTGCGATAATTCGACGACCGAAAAGTCGGAAACGTCGTTTACCACTTAGCTTTGTTTCGTACCGCAACGCGCTGCCGGGCGCGGGCCGGACGCAGAGAGGACGCGAGTCCGCATCCACCTTGGATAGGTGGATGCGTCCAAGGTGGATGCGGACACGGCGCAATTCCCTCAAGGACACGAAAATCCCCAGCGCACCGACCGAGCACGCACGGAAACGAAAAAGTACGCAATTGAAGTACCAAAAAAGTACCGATATAAAACTTCGTCCCTGACCTGCTCCGCCCCTCCGCCGCCGCCCGCGTCCCGCACCGATTCTCAGCCGATTCCCAGCCGATTCCCAACCGATCCCCAACCGATCCCGAGACCCCGCTCCAACGGACTCGCCCCACCGCACTCGCCCCACTGAACCCATCCCCGCCAACATGGCGAATCGATGACCCCAGGTGACTCGAAGACCCGGACATCGATCGATCGGGACGGAAGTCAATCACGCATTCGCGGTATCAACAGCAACGGTCAACATGACTCGAGCATAAAATACCTATCGTGACTTTCCCCGCCCCGCCCCGCCCCGCCCCGCCCCGCCTCTACGTCCCAAAGCGTCCCCACAATTGTCTCGTTCCTCACACGGGGCAAGAGCAGTTTGCTTACGGGTCTCGAATCCGAAAAGAAACCCTGGACTTCGCATTTAAAGGACCGCGAGTCCTTTAATTTTTAATTAATTGCGAAAGTAATTAAAAGAGTGGTACGAAGTGCTCCATCGAAAAACGCAAGGAAGTTGTCGAGGTCGAATCCGTCACAGACGTGCGAGATCAACTGAGAAATCGCAAAAAAATTTGGTCGAGTGCAAAAAAAATTGCAAAGAGCGCATCCGATAATTTTAAATATGTTTTAATATAATAAATGTTAATTTTTAATAAAAACGCTGGACGAAACGTTGCAGGTCCCACTCACGAAAAGCCTCCGGACGAGACGAATCTTTCCCTCTCGCGACCATCGCAGATGCCGAACCGGAGAACGCGACCACGCCGAGCCGTGCAACACGCACCTCGCATCACGCACCCCCCTCACGCACTAGAGGTTGAACGCTCGGGTCTGGCATTCAGACACCGAGAGCGACCCCGACCGCTTCACGGAAACGCGAGATGGAAATGCAAACGTTCGCTATCGGGAGCAAGGCCCTCCAGCTCCCATTGGCCAGCCCCCCGCTCCCGATAGCAACAATCGATTGCACCGAGCCGAAATTCAAACGTCCCCTTAGATACCAGATTGCATCGGGTCGACCGGGAAATCTCACCGCTGCGAACCCCGATTAGGCGAACCGGCACTGCGTGAACCCAACCACAACCACAACCACAACCCCAACCACAACCCCAACCACCACAACCCCAACCACAACCACAACCACAACCACAACCACAACCACAACCACAACCCCGGGCCCCTCGGCTCCCTCTCGGCCGTATCTTAGAGAGACGGATTATCAAGGGATTTGCTGCGTCAGCCCTTCACGCTATTCCCCCATTATTCTCCCCTCCCATCACCCCGAGAGAACCCCGTCGGACGGGAAAAAAAAGGAAAAGATAACAACAAAACAACGCGAATCCAAGGGAGAATCACCGTTTCGCACCTGCT